TTAAAACACACCTTTTCCAGAAATACCTGAATTAACACTTCTGGCATTATACTCTGTCTTTTCCTTTTATATAATAAAAAAAAAAGCACTTTCCCAAGAGAGTATTAGATTGATGGTATTCATAGCCTTGGTTTTATTGAGCTAGTATTGGGAAAAATTCATTGTAGAGTCTTAAAGCACTTATGTAAGTCGCTCTGGATAAGGGCATCTGCCAAATGCTGTAAATGTAAATGAATTAAGATTAATTTCACAAGATTAATCAATTGAAACCAATACTTAAATCAATGAGTCCTAAAATATATGACAAATACGACTGTATTATGGGTTTTACGTCTTTTTGGGGGTGACAGTAATTCTGCTGCTGTGGGGTTTACTGACTCTTCCATTGTTTTCTAGATGGGTGAGCAGCAGGCTAATGCGACGGCTCATTAACATAAACCAAAGGTTGTGATACATGTGCTGCTGGCAGTTGAAGGAGGTCGTGGCAGAAATCTTACCATGAAATAAGTAGGTAATTCACTAATAGCTCAACAGCAGTATCAATATTTTTTCGCACCACAAATGTAAACCTTCTCCTCGGGTTTCACGTGTTTGATACTTGTGAGCGTATACAAAGTCACATGACTGGCACGTAAAGAGCACGGCACTTCTGATTGGTGAGAAGGACTGTCACGCCAGGAGCACAGCATGAATTCATAAAACTGTTCTCATGACAGTTTTAAACCGTGGGTCAGGCATGCTGTGTAATGCATATCCTAAATCGCAGCATTTGTAATTTATTGGCGTTGTTTCAAATTGCAATTTCGATTTGAAATCGATAAATCGTTCAGCCCTACTGTAGTTGCTGGTTAACTTGTATGTTCTTGTCAAATAAAATTATTTTTCTTTATAAAAGGTAACATTTGCTATTTCAAGAACTTTTTCCCTAAAAATAGTGGGGGTCGTCTTCTAATTGGTTTCGTCTTGTATTTGGGCCAATACGGAGATTCCCTTGTAAGACCTCACCTTGAATACTGTGTCCAGGTTTGGTCATCTTACCTCAAAAAGGGTATTTCTGCTTTAGAAATGGTCCAACGCAGGACTACGATTCCTGGCCATAGGGGGATGTCTCAACAGCAGAGGTTGGCATAGCTGAATTTGTTTAGCCTTTAGCAAAGAAGACTAAAGGATGACATGAACCAGGTATATAAGATTCTAACAGGTCTAGATGCTGTTCATCCACACTGTTACTTCAAAATAAGTTTTAATCCAAGAACCTGTGGCCACAGTTGGAAATTATTGGAGGAACCGTTTTGTTTGGATCTGAGAATGAACAACTTCTCACAGCGTGTAATTAGAGTATGGAATAGTCTGCCCGAAGAGGTAGTGCAAGCTAAAACCCTAGATTCTTCACGAGGTCCCGCCAACTTTAAATTACTAATTTAATTCCCTCCAAGTGAGCTTGATGGGCCAAATGGTCTCCTCTCCTTTGTAAGTTTATGTTCTTATGAACATATCCTCCGTAACTAATGATTATATACATTTAACTGAGGTGCTCAGTGAAAACAGCTCAGACGTTTGTTCCACATAGCTGTAATAAAACCTTACCATGGATTTTCTTCTCCTTCTCAGTGAGTTGTTTATCAGCCTGCATGACTGAGGTAGATTCTGCACTCTTTTCCTTTAGAAAGTTCTCCAGGACTTCTTCTGCCTTTAAAATCCATCAGGACATGAAAAGATCATAACAGACAAATAGACTTAAGACACTGATACTCTATGGTTTTATGACTTTTTTTCCCCATTTCAGCAATACAGATACAGACCTTATTGCTTTGCATATTCAGCCTGAAACTTACCAATTCCAGGAGATCCTGAACATATTATCACTTATGGTTGGTAAAATTACTTTTGATACAATTTTATTGCACTGCAGAGTAAGTTCAGACCTACAGCACCAACCCATTTACCTTCAACAACAGATACTTTTAAGAATATCTTTACTTAACGCTGTAATTCAAAGAAATAATTTTCAACATTTTAATGTGTTCAGATTTTGTAAGGCACAGAGCACATGCATAACAGCAAGTCGTTTTGGGTTGTAGACAGTTTTATCTGTAGTTCTTACCTTGACTCCTTTGTTGGGCTTTCTGTTGTATTCATCCAGTAAGGCTTGGCGGTCCACACAATAAAGCTCATACCCACCAGGTTTAGCATAGGACCCGTTCTCCAGTTTCGTGGCCATTGGCTGAGAAAGCTGTGAAAGCAGCTGTCTGCAAAGTTCTTCTGAGGCTTCCTCGTTTTCAGTAAGAAGATCAGCATAAGCTTCATTGATGGCTTCCTATGAACACAGCACAGATTCTGTTGTGGTTTACATTCTTTCAGCAACCTTAAATCAGTATCATAAGTTGGTGAAACCTACCAGTAGTTTTTTCATGTATTCTCCCTTCTCATCCTTAAAGGATCGGCTTGAGAATGCTTTGATGGCCTGGGAATCCCAGTGTCTGTGGTGCTGGGACATCTCTTCAATGCCTACTGGGACGGTGACCTCCTTCATGCCATTTCTGTACACCTGCAATCCTTCCTGAACAGCTGCCTCGTTTTCAATCTGGGCCAGGGCCACCACAGCATTCTCCAGACAGGGAACACCACCACTAGCAATGGTCTCCACATAGGTCTTTGCCAAGTGGCCAAGCACTAAAACCAAACAGCAAGTACAGTATGTTAATCATGATTATTCAAAATCCATAGTTACTATGTAATATCCAATGGGAGTGGATTTAATCCAAAGGCGTTTGCCTTCCAAACTACTGTTTGAGGTCCAATTTAGATATTAACACAATCTCTTTACATGTAAAGTAATATTTTAAAACAGGAAATACAACACAAAGCTACAGATATTATGAGTGTTGATTGAGAGACCATAGACTCACTCCTTCCTGTGACTGGAAGTCCACCTTTCACTCTTTTTACTGGACTTTCCTGGTAGATGTAGTTGCAGAACATAAGAGAAACAGCTTTAAATGATGAACTGAGCTGACTTTCTTCCATGGACTCAAGGTGGGCCATTTTATCTGGAGCAGCCGGCGTTTCAAACACAAAGCATCTCCTTGCTGGGAAATAATTCCGAATGCACTCTCGAGGGAGGTTGTATTCAACTGTCTTTCTGTCCCTTCCTATGCATAGAAACACATATCAAGACACACTTAAAATCTTTGTACTGCAGCACACAGGTGTCAGTTTAGCATGAAATGTGTACCCTAATAGTGGCCACGTACTCTAAACAAAATTGACAGAATTGATGTCACCATTTGGGCGCATCATTAGTGTTGGGCTAGAAGGCATTGCAATCATGAATGCTTTTGAAGGAAGACTCACTGATCGCAAAATTCGCATTTATATGATATTATATGATACAGGTCATGTTGAAATTTTTTAAAAGATGAATAGATAAGCTGTAATTCATAGGTAGAAATTGCAGATAAGCATATGTTTATTTCTGTTCTGTATCTTGGTCTGCTGCATCAAAAGCAATCGGCGCCCTCTAGTGTTGTTTTAAAGTATGTCATAGATTGTTTTCACCGGTGTTCTGTCTAGTTGAGCTACTTTGTCGAGATAGGCTACTGTAGTGCTAATCGATAGCCCTAACCCTAACTCTTACCCTAACCCTAACCCTAACCACCCAAAAACCCCTAAAACCCTTACCTTAACCCTAACCCCTAAAACCTAACCCTGATTCCAAGACGGTGGTACTGCACATGCGCCGAAAGGCTCGATAGCACGTTTCGATAGGTAGCTCAACTCGTCAGAACACCGGCTTGTTCAATTTCGTTTTGTTCAGACATCATTTGAAGTAAGCAGCCACCTTAAGGGAGGACCAATGTTATATCAAGGTTGGTCACTGGGTGGCAGAGATACTCCAAGATACTGTAAAAACTAAAAAGTAAATTTTGCAGTGAAGTGACTGCTGGATTAAGATTTGTTTTTCCGTTATTTGGTGGTGTTGGATGCGTAAGTTTTTAAGACATAATTTAATTTTTCACGTCACATGTCTACAGATGTATTTGTCATTTTAGATTACAGTCATATTGTCTGCATTTCACTTTGATTTCATGACTGCATTAACACCCAATTTAGGCCGACAAGTGTCAATGCGCTGCAAATTCAGAAAACAGTCACAAATCTGAAAATGCGAGCAAATCCATTCAAAACAATAGACGTATCCGGAGGACAATTAAACGAGACGTACAATTACGGCTGGGTAGTATATCAAATGTTTATAGTATATAGGTATATTTTCAAAACATGCCAATGGATAACTCTATATTATTATATGATATACTTTAACTGTGTGTTAAAACTTAGGGCTCCATTAAAGATTTTGAATAGAGACCAAGAATATTCCTTCCTGGTTGTAATAATGCGAACATAGTTATACCTCACATGTGATTTTGAGTATTACAGTAAATAAAAGTGAGTACGATTGTGCATGTAAGACAGTATACTAATGCTCTGTGAGACTATGATGATGTGTGTGAGACCAAGTATGAATTATCCCTCAAGGGGCCTCACATACCCAATTACCTCCTTTCTCAGCTGTAATCTAAATAAAAAGCTGATTCTCCACACTGGTCACTATTCATTTTGTGTTGTGTACCACCTAACTCTAGACACAGCAATGTCTCAAAAATTATGCAATTCAATGGTTAATCTTGATGTTTTATCTCTTACCTTTTTTAAGGGCAAGAGCATGTTCCAGATACTCTGCATCATTTACTTTCTTTCCATCAATTTCCAGCAACAAAGTGAAATCCCGCACAGCCCATACAAAACTGGGGAAGAACTGCACAAACTGGGCATCTGCCTCATCGTCATCATCCTCAGCAGATGAAGCACTGGCGGGCGATTTCACCTTGATCCGCTCTGTCAGCTCTGTGACATATCTATACATGTTAAGAAATGGTGCCCTGTGGGACTGAGAAATTGAGTCCCTTTAACTGCCGCTAACATATACCATAAGATAACATAACATAAAGGGCCTAATAATGAATATCATTTCTGAAAAATTCAGTGTTAAACTACTTGTCTTTATTAAATACATCATAACAAACCAGCAGCTGCCTTTTCTCAAAGCCAGACCCAAACTTATATGCTGCTAATTAGGGAAATGTACCTGCTGTCTAATCCATAATTATGAACATGGCTTCCATAAGAGCCGCCGCTGACTTCAAATATCTTTAAGTTTCAATTATAGAAAAAAAGGATACTGTAAGTTTTCCACTGCTTGGTTGTCTATGGTTCCTCTGCTGTTGTAGACCAGAGTGCTGCTCAAAAGAATGGATAGAGCGAAGATCCAGGCGTCATTCTTTTGGTCTCCCTGTAAAACATTCCCAATTCAATATTAAATTATGCCATGTATAGTTAGCCAAATACAAATATACTTAGAGCCTGGCTAACAATTTAGACTCAATTAATAGTGTTGCAAACATTTTTCTCTCTGTTGTCAATTAATAAACTGTTAAAAACAATTTCGATATCAAACACCTTGTAATTCGTGGACAGAAGGCCGAATGTATCTGCTTTTGTGAAGAAAAAGAAAGTCATTTCATTCACAAAATGAATTTTGTCAAGTAAATACATTCTTTTGTGTACAAAATGCATTTCGTAAGTGAATTTTATTTTATTTTAGCCTTCCAGTAATCGCTCAGTATTTTCGTGGATACGATTTTACACAACGCAAATTTAAAAAATACATATTTGTATACTGTATAGCTAATAGTATCTCTAGTGTCAGATTAATGTCTCCTAGTTTGATATCTGTTTAGTCTCTTGGTTCTGTGTTCATCTTTGTTAATTTGCTCGATCTGATTTCCCAGTGCCACTGTTTGTTCCATTTGTTGCTCATTGTCCTGCGCCCTCAGTGATTGGTTAGTTGCCTTACGTTCTTTACGTGCCCTCTGTTTTTGCTCTGTTCTCTAACCTGTCATTCTTCATGTTACTGTGCCTGTGTTACAGTGTGATTGTTACTCTGCTGGTTTGCCCAGTCCTGTCCCCACTGTTTGCTTGTTCCTTGCTTGGTATATTTCCCAAGTGTGTATTTAATAAACCGTTGTTGCCTCAGAACTGCAAATGGATCATCATCTTCATTTTCCGGACTGCACCATGCCACACTATGACAATTTTTGACTCAGGCGACTGGGGGGGGTTAAGAATGAAGGAAGAGTATGACTGTGAAAAAAGTCTGTGTCCTAAAAATTAATTATTAGGAAATCACCATCCAATTTTAATGCAAAATGGCTAAATAAACTGGACACCATGTTCGAACTGAAATGCATTAAACAGAACAAGTAGCCCTTTTGATCACCTTCTCCACGTCGCCCAGCCCCTCAGTGTCAAGGAGCACCAGAGTGTGGTCCTTTTTATCGGGGTGAGGTACACACCACATCCAGATGCCCTTAGTTTTGGATTGTATGGTGGCTCCCAGGGCAAATCCTATAGGAGACAATAACAAATAAAAGCTGGATGCCTGAGAACAAAGTAATGCAGGCTTGTGACAACCTTGCAATCTGTAAGCTTACTGTACCTTTCTGCTTTCCTGCCAGTTTGTTCATCAGGTAGGACTTGCCAGTGCGGTACAATCCCACTATGGCCACAACCACGACGGGCTGACTGACCCCCATAAGATAAGACATTGCTTCTGGGACGACTCGCAAGGTCCCGGCGTTTTCGATCAAACACATTGGGGACTCCATTGTGGAAACTCTGGGCACAGAACCTGCTAAATTTCAAACACATATTATTTTTCTTATAACAAGTAAAAGAATCATATCATCCTACGTGAGGTCAATGCAAAGATAAGATGTGAAAACAGTGGGAATATTTTACAGAAAAACTTGTTTGTTCTAGTGAAACAGTGTCAATAGTTCCAGGTCCAAATTTTCCCAAGCGTTTAAGAAACTCGATCTTTACACTAAATAAATAAAGACACCAATACGCCTTACTTCCAGTTAGATTTCTGCTTGTCATTATGATCGTTCAATATGGATGGCAGCTATGTTGTATGACATATGAAATGTATGTTATTTTTAGTTGATAAACGTAGCAAATACACAAATATGGCCAATGAAACCCTATAACCATAGACGGACTTTACTGAGAGTCTCAAAATAGATTATGAAATCGAAACATTTAGACACAAGCAGTAGAAGTATACAACAGTTACATTTCCTAATTAAGGACTTCGCCGGTGATTTAAAAAGCTTACAAGTGCTCTGTGTTTAACGTCTTTGCTACTCCTGGATGAAAATCGGCCAAAATCGAAAATAACGAGGTTTGTTTCTTTTTTGACAAAAGAAAGACACCAAAAAGTATGGCGAATTCGTACAGGACATGTTTCACAACCGAACTTCATGTGAAATCCTAGCCATACGGCGATCGGAATATTACACATAGTTTTCAGTTAATCTAATTCAATCCAATAATAACTTAACCTATTTTTTTAATATCCACATAAATAAGCCAGAAGCGCCCAGGCCGTTATCATAAAATTAATGCCGAAGCAGCAGCGATAACATTTCTGTATCTCAGTGTAGACGTTTCTGCTTTCAATGGTCAGATTGTTATAATGAATGCGGAACAGCTTAGAAGCAAACATGAAATATTTGGAAATTTTTCAAATATCATTCAGCAACAGTTGGAATAGTTGCATTTATTTTTTAAACAAAACTCGCTTTGATCTTGCTGAATACAGCAGCGTAAATATATATTACCCACAAAAACGTATAACATTTCCAACTTTTTTTCGGAAGTTGAAGATTCAGTCTGGACGAAAATTATCTAGATTTCCTGTCTGTAAAGATGGATTGGTGGATTTTAAAGTAGTGGTTTTAGTTCATATATCTAAGCCTAACTGAACGTATAGACCTGTTCACTTATTCAGCACTACATCAGGCAGCATTACAATATATAAACTATATGTATACAGTATAACATTATAGCACAACATAGGTCACAGAGATACACTGGTTTAAAGGTTACAAATGCCAGTATCTATGGTCGTATACAACACAGTTATGCCTATAAACTACTCCTTACCTCGGACTTTTTCCCCTTCTATCTGTAACAAAGACCAAGTAGAAATGATGAGTTTAATAAAAAGCAGCTTCTCGACGGAGAGCCCTGCTACGGGAAACCGAAAGCATTTACACTTTCGATATGACTGATTAACAATCTCGACTTTTCCGGCGGACCGCCCTCACTACAAAACCAAACAAAACTACAAAACTAGAAATTCACCAAGCGACGACCAAAGTAGGTATATAACAAGCTTTCTTTATTTTATTTTCTGTTGTGCTTTACAAATGCAATTTTAAACATTAATGGCCTTCCGTAACAGTCACTTTAATGTGTTAATTTTAAAGCGATGACAAGCTATTTTATTCCTCATTCTTAACTTGGGGTGTCGGAGCCGACGCAACGAAGGTTTTAATTCGGGCCACGAGTGTAGACTATGGACAAGGGGATTTGAAAACGTATTACAAGTATAAAAAATGTTAAAAGTATAGTACGTGGTATTCGTATATTTTTTTGTGCTGGGGAGAGGTATACTAGCCTACTATCAACCTTAGCATGTAGAAAGTGAAACTGCATGGGAACCGCCATAAAATAAAATTTAAAAATCACTAGCGGGAATGAAGAAACAGAAGTTAGTTTCAATGGTAGTACAATGACATGTGATCCTGCTGAAAAAAAACAATATAGAGCAGAATGATTTCCTCGCGTATCTGTGCTGGTTTGGTGCTGGTGTGTATAGCTGTGCTGGTCAACTTGCACACGAAGCTGGTCCACCAGCACCAAAACACAGCATATGCTGGTATAACCAACCGGCATTATGCTGGTATATGCTGTTTTTTTTCAGCAGGGATGACCATTTAAATTCGGCTATCTACATGGTGATACAATAGCAGAATATCTGAAAGCTGTGAGCTAGTGAGGACATGCATGGGCCAAGCTGGGCGAAACACATGGCCTGGAAAGTTTGACAAGACGTGTTTTGTAGAAGGACTGCACATCTCATCTATTTTCATTGGTTTGTTTCTTTCAATATGTCTGTTCTTCATTATTTGGTGAATAACCCAGTACTGATTAACTATACACTGATTAACTAACCAGTAATGATTCACTAACCCAATACTGATTGACTACACAGAATGGTAGCTATAGTGTTTCTATAGTGTAACACATCGCCAGCAGGTTTACTTTCACAGTCAAAGGTTATTATCAGATATAGTTGATCTTGCATTATACCAGCAATCACAGAGAGTGCCAATACTGTTGTTTGTGAGAGTATATAAGGGATCCAATTAATACTTTGGAAAATGCACATTTTTCAGGTATTGCAGTCCTTACATTTGAAGATGATTTGTTATTGGCCTGTTTAAGTCGAAATTAAAGTAACTTACCACCATGTGGTACCAAGCCTAGCTAAACTCAAAATAAATAAATCGCAGGGCCCTGATGGCATCTTACCTATAGTTTTAAAAGAGATGAGGGATAATATTAGCCAACCTTTAACTCTAATATTCCAGAAATCGTTATCTGCGGGTACCTTCAGATTGGAACTTGGAAGCATGCTAATATAACACCCATATTCAGAAAAGGGGATAGAAGTAATCCAGCAAACTATAGGCCAATCAGTTTAACTAGCATTACTGGAAAAATAATGAAAGCTATAATCCAAGTGAAAATGGTAGATTACCTGGATGCAAATAATATTCTGAGGGATAGCCAATATGGATTTAGGAGAGGTAGATCCTATTTAACGAATCTACTTGAGGTCTTTGAGGAAGCTACAAGTGAAACTGATCACAAAAGGCCTACGATGTGATCTACTTAGATTTCCAGAAGGCCTTTGATGTTGTCCCCCACAAACGGCTCTTGCTAAAGCTCAAAGCTGCAGGGATTTTAGGAACTGTGGCAGCTTGGATCGAAAACTGGTTAACCGACAGGAAGCAGCGAGTAGTTATTAGAGGCACAATGTCACAGTGGGCCTGCGTTCATAGTGGGGTACCGCAGGGTTCAATTTTAGGACCACTATCGTTCCTAATTTACATTAATGATATTGACACCAATACATACAGTAAACTGGTTAAATTTGCAGACGACACAAAGGTGGGTGGTGTAGCAGATACTGATCTAGCAGCAGAGAGGCTACAATGGAATCTGGATTTAATTAGCGACTGGGCTGATACTTGGCAGATGAAATTTAACACAGATAAATGTAAGGTAATCCATGCAGGGAGCAGAAATATAAAGTACAGATATTTTTTGGGTTCCACTGAAATAAAGGTAGCTGATTACGAGAAAGATCTCGGTGTGTATGTTGATGCTTCCATGTCCCACTCTCGCCAGTGTGGGGAAGCAATGAAAAAGGCCAATAGAATGTTGGGTTATATCTCTAGGTGTGTGGAATTCCTTGGTTAGACCCCACCTAGAATATTGTGTGCAGGTTTGGTCACCATACCTTAAGAAGGACATTGCTGCCTTAGAAAAGGTGCAACGGAGGGCTACGAGAATGATTCCTGGTCTTAGAGGAATGTCTTATGAGGAGAGGTTAGCTGAGATGAATCTGTTTAGCCTTGAGCAAAGGAGAATAAGGGGGGGACATGATCCCGGTCTATAAGATTCTAACGGGTCTGGATGCTGTTCAGCCAAATGGCTATTTCAATATAAATACTAGAACTCGTGGCCATAAGTGGAAATTAGCGGAAGAACATTTTAAAACAAATTTGAGGAAGCACTTCTTTACACAGCGTGTAGTTAGAGTATGGAATAGTCTTCCTGCTAGTGTAGCGGAAGCTAAAACCCTGGGTTCCTTTAAATCAGAGCTAGATAAGATTTTAACAACTCTGAGCTATTAGTTGAGTTCTCCCCAAATGAGCTTGATGGGCCGAATGGCCCCCTCTCGTTTGTAAAACAAACAAACAAAAAAAGTATTCAAATATATATTTCAGTTCAGTTTATTTTTATGCTGCTTTTCACCACAGATTCGCCCCAAGGTGCTTTACATGGTTAGGCCTAATACATTCCTACATCATTTAGACAGATTAATTCAAAAACAAAGAAAGGAAAGAAAGAAAGTCAGATGACAGTGGAGGAGAGGAACCAAAACTGTCAAATAGGGAGGAAAAAAAACCTCTGGGGGGTCCAAGGTCAACTGGCTGTCCAACCCCCCCTGGGCGTGCTAACATTACCGGAAAAGAAAGAGTGAGCTTGCTTGCTAAAAGTAATGTATAAACTGTGAACAAGGTCAAAGCTAAAGCATTGACAAAAGGATGGGACCCAGGCTGGGGTCCACCCTGGACAGGATATCAGTACCTTGGTATAATGCTGGTATAATCAGAACCTTGTCAATGACTTCATCGCTACTCTGAATGGTCCACCCACCACCTTCGACATGGCAGCTGTTGTCGCATGTCCAAACAAAGCTTTGCTCACAGCAGAACATTAGTTCAAGAATAATCACCGCTGCTAAGAAAAGCGCTTTTATAACGGCTTGCTGCCAACCTCCCTACATATTATACCACCAGTCAAAACATTCCTGTGTGTTGACCTGCGTCTCTTGCCATTTCATCCTGTAACCCCTGTAATTTAACACTCAGAGATACACTCTGTCTCTTAGGGAGATTAATGGCTCCTCCTCGTCTGTGTCTTTTCTTGTCGTCTGTGCTCTAACTTGGTATATTTGGGTTAGATTCCGGTACGACTTTAAGTCATAGACCATGCGCATCCATTATCAAGGTATCAACCAGCCACAGCGTCCTTAGTGACCTTTGACCATTGTTTCCATACAGAGGCCTCATAAGGGCCCCCTCCCATGACTGATCTCACTCCCCAGGTATGTGGCCTGCTCTTATCAGTATTGTACCTTAGCTCTGGGCACCTTGTGCCCCCCTTTCACTAAGACCTTCAGCAACGGCATTGAATCTTGATGGCAATCAGCCAAGGTGTCAGCATGCAGTAGATCAGCTACGTATTATATCATTGTGCTTCTTAAATTCAGTCCATCCATATCTGCCCTAAGCCCCAAATTGAATATGTGAGGCGACTGATTCAATCCTCATGTTGGTGTACCGCTGACCCCTACAGGTAAACGCAAACAAAAACTGTGACTGTTCCGCTTGGGGAACACAAATCATGTTCCACAGCCGCAAACCTCTGAATCTGCTACTCTGCACTCCACTGAACTGTCAGCAACTTGCCTTTGGCAGCAGTCTGCACTCCTTCATACTGCGTTGGTGCCCAAGACTGCCTGCTTTTCCATCTCATCATTTCTTCCAAATCCAACATAGACTATTAAAAGTTACTGCTATGAGGAGGGGCCCCTCATCTAATATGTCAGTAAACTTATTGCAGAAGGCTGTATTATCCACTGAGCACCACCGCCCGCCCCCCCCCCCCTTCTCCTCAAGCTAACACTTTCCTCTGTATGGAGGGTTAGGGGTGTCCAGCAGGTGTATCAGCCCTTCTGCATCATCACCAGTTACACCTTCTCCCAGCTTTTTAGCTCCACCTTTTCCCTCAGATCCCCCTGCTTTACCTTCCAGTGTAACCTCACTGCCTCACATTCTTTCCTCCACTGGCTGCCGCAGCAGGGAGCTCACTTCCTTGTTCCCATCTAGCAGCTTGGCCTTTCTTTCTTTTCCCTATTTCCTTCATTCTTCTGTTTCACCTCCCCTCTGAACTCTACCTTCCTTTCTATTACTGGAAACTAAACCTGGTATGAAGGAGGGGGGGCTTCCACTAACGGGTACTGATTTTGGTAGTACCCTTTTGGTACTACTTCTGCTCTGTTTCGCTTCTCTCTCCCCCCTGCTTCTCCTTTAACACCCTTCTCATCACTTTCTGGTCCCTTCTCCAGGCCTCTCTCTTTGCCTTGAATAACCTCAGACTCTCCAATTCCTCATTCCTTTTCTTTTTTTGCCATTCTGTGCTCTAATTAGCCTTATGATATTTTATCAAAGTCTCCACCTTCTCACACACTATTACATCCCACGTGCCCCCTTTAGGCCTCTTATTTACCAGTGTGTTTGTTCTATTCTCCATATTTTTAGACATCTTTCCTTTGAGTAGGGGGCATTCCCTCCCCAGCCACTGTTTTGGCATCTGAGTGATTTTTACTGGAGTCCGCAATCTCACACTTCTCTGTGCTTTGCACTTTGCACTGGGGGCCGCTCTCCAGTCAGATATAAAGCATTCCACACAGCCAGCCCCTGTACTGTTATTTTTTACTTTGGGCCCTCTTCCTAGCACTACCCTCTAATAATATCTCTGGACTATTTACTTGTTTTCTATTCCCTCTCCTGGGTGAAACCTAACGTTTTTGTCCTAACACTCAACTTATTTGTTAACTTCCTCTGTTTCAGCCAACAGTGCATACAACCGCTTTCCTCACTCCCTACCAATATTTCGCAATTAAACTATACGCTTTCTGGGCCCTTCCATTCCCAGAATACTTTATTTTTTCACAACACAATCAGTCCAACCCAGCGGATCCACTTCTCTTACCACAATATCCGCAACATTTACAACCCAGGCCTTCTCTGACCCTATCTACTTCAGCAATACTCTTGCTTGTAACTCAACAATACCTTACCTTAAAATAGAACCTGTGCTTCACGGCTTAACAACATCTTTGCTTCACAGTGTAACCGTACTTTTGCCTCACAACTTAATACAAACAGATTACCTCTCTTTAGGGGAATATAATCCTTTGCTTCACAAAAACAAACAGACCCCCTCTCTCTTGGAGAATACACAGGCCCCCACTGGCCTTTGCTGCACAGATAGACCCCCCTCTTTCTAGGGGAATACACAGGCCCCCACTGGCCTTTGCTGCACAGATAGACCCCCCTCTTTCTAGGGGAATACACAGGCCCTCACTGGCCTTTGCTGCACAGATAGACCCCCCTCTTTCTAGGGATATACACAGGCCCCCACTGGCCTTTGCTGCACAGACAGACCCCCTCTCTAGTATTGTCCTAAGGTTACATTCACTAAGTGAATACAGTGCTAAATAATATTCCATAGGATGCCAGTCCAACCTAGGGGACACACACTAATACTCACTCACAACGGGCAACTCCAATTCACCTAATTGCATGTTGTTAGACAGTGGAAACCAGAGTAGCTGGAGGATAATATATGAACTTCACACAGACAGCACAGGGGTAGGATGTGCATAGATGGCGCTGTCCCCCTCATTACCCAAATTCAATCCTGCTTCTCTATAAAACTGTTATTGTGTTTCATTTGTATTCATAAAGAAACATTAAGGACTATAAGAACTGCAATGTTTAACTATAGGACTAGAGAAGTAGCAGAATATATGATAATGGCGAGAATTTTCAAGTTACAACAAAGTGCTGTTACTTTCGCAAATAATCACCAGCAGTAGTAATATTGTTGTGATGTATGTTATATCCATAGAGCATGCCGGTTTGATTGTGCCAATGATTTCGCCTCACCCTTTTATACACTGGTACTGTGAGTGTGCCAGTGAGTGCATTCTGCCCAGCTGATTCTGGGGTTCATCAGGGGTGTGCTCTTGCTCCTACATGTTCAGTGCTTGTATTAACTGGGTGTTGGGCAGGGTCGTGGGGTCCAGTGGCTGTGGGGCATTTGTTGGTGAAGAAAGATTCACTGATCTTGACTTTGCCGACGATACTGTAACCTTCACAGAGTGAGTGGAGGCTCTGTTCAGGGATCAGGTCATGAGGTCACTGGAACGGGGTGTGCGGCGCTCCCAATATCTTTGCAAGAAGACGAAGGCCCAAGTCTTTAGAGTCCTGGTGCTTCCTGTCTTGCTGTATGGCTACGATCAGTGACATGAGACGAAGACTGGACTCCTTTGGTACTCTGTCTCTTTGGAGCATCCTTGGGTACCACTGGTTTGACTTTAACTTGAACGCTAGTTGCTAGAGGAGTCCCGAATGAGGCACATTACCTGCATTGTGAGGGAGCGTCAGTTATAGCACTGTGGCCTTGTGGCACGATTCCCTGAGGGTGATCCAGCTCGCAGGATCCTCATTGCTGAGGACCCGAGCAGCTGAACCTGGCCAAGGGGAAGCCCACGTAACATCTGGCTGTAGCAGACAGACAGCCATTTCCAGAGGGTAGGACTGGACCACATGTCTGCCTGGGGGGGTTGCCAACCGGGATCCCAAGGTGTTTATTTGTGTGGTGGTGAGTGCAGCAATGCACTGCACCAGTACATGCTCTGCAACCTGACCTGACCTGACCTTTTATATGCATGTCTGCTTGCAGCATAATGGCTGGATTCTCCATGGCAGAACCGATGTGTCTGATTGAAAATGGCAAGGATGGCAAGCTGTGCGTCCAGCCTAAAGCACTCCAGATCCTGGAGCAAATCGGACAGCGAGTTGTGGTTGTGGCAGTGGTAGGACTCTATCGCACTGGCAAGTCTTACCTCATGAACCAGCTGGCTGGAAAGAGGAATGGTGAGGGTGTCCCGTGTCTCAAAAGGTGTTAACCATATAGCACATGTCTCCACATCTATTTCAGTAGTAATGATTTGTGTTAGTGCAGAATTGTCCAATCAGCTTGTTTGCCTTAACCATCCTCACAAGTCATTTTGTTTGTATCAGGATTTGCCCTGGGAGCCACCATACAGTCCAAAACTAAGGGCATCTGGATGTGGTGTGTACCTCACCCTGTTAAAAAGGACCACACTCTGGTGCTCCTGGACACCGAGGGGCTGGGCGACGTGGAGAAGGTGATCAGAAGTGGTGCTTGTTTCAGCATTTAATTTAATGTTGAATATGCTGTTCAGTTTTTTGTTTTTTTTTACCTTTTGCATTAAGCATTAATTGCAATGAAATTCATTTATGATACAATTTCAGTAAGTTTGTAATACATTTAGCATCTTCAGAAAAACAAATGTAAAAATCTATTTACACTGAATGTAATAAATAGAGGCGGCACGGTGGCGCAGTGGTTAGCGCTGCTGCCTCACAGCAAGAAGGTCCTGGGTTTAGTCCTGGGTCCTTTCTGTGTGGAGTTTGCACGCTGTCCGCATGGGTTTCTGCTAGGGGCTCTGGTTTCCTCCCATGGTCCAAATGTGTGTGGGTAGGCTGATCGGCGAGTCTAAATTGGCCCTGTAATTGTGTGGCTGTGTGAGTGTGGCTGTGTGAGTGTGCCCAGGGTTGGTTCCCGCCTGCGCCCCTTGTTTTCGGGATAGGCTCCCCCCCCCCCTGCGCGCGCGTGACCCCAGTTGGGATTAAGCGGTCACGGTGATGGATGGACAGATGGATGGATGGATGGATGGATGGATGGATGTAATAAACAGGCACGTGGTGGGGGGGCTTAGGGTGCCTGAGGACCTGGCCATTTTTTCTGAATGATTGGATTGATTTGGTGGCCAAAATTTACAGAGGGGTACACCCCTCCCCCCCGATTCAGGCTGCTGTCCCTCGGAAAGTCTCTATTGTACACAAATATTTTATGTCTTCTCCAAACCAAAATTCTCTCTTCCCAGGGAGATCAGAAAAATGACACATGGATATTTTCCCTGGCTGTACTGCTGAGCAGCATGCTGGTGTATAATAGTATGGGAACCATCGATAACGACGCCCTGCAGCGCTTACAGTATCCTTCTGATGTCACCACTGGGCCCTTGTGAAAGGCCCTTAACCCCAGTTGCTCCAGGGTCTGGCTGATCTGGCTCTTTGATTCTTACCTCTATCTCACCTTGAAAAAAGCATTTGCTAATAAATAAAAGAATGTAAAATGAGATGACAATTTTGTAAACAGAGGGTCTCTTTTTTTCCTGGAAGTTTCCTCCTGAACATTGGCATGTACAGCTATGTCACAGAACTGACAGAGCACATCAAGGTGAAATCACAGCAGGATGAAGATGAAGATGAATCCACTGAGTTCTTACGAGTCTTTCCCTCCTTTGTATGGAGCGTCAGAGATTTCAGTCTTACTCTAGAGCTCGATGGGAAGCCAATTACCGCTGATGAGTACCTGAACAATGCGTTGATGTTAAAACCTGGTGAGGACATCAACACAAATAGTCACTGGTATTGCTTTAATATGAAGAAAATATAAAGCACTATAACTAAGAGATGGCATGATACAATCAGCCTAAAAAAAGACTGTAATCAGAACTTCCTGTCAATTTTCTTTTTCGTTGAAAGGTCATTCAAAAGCTGTCCAGATGTACAACATGCCTCGCAGCTGCCTTAGGAATTATTTCCCCACCCGCAAGTGCTTTGTGTTTGACCGTCCTGCAACGACAGAAAAAATGCGCATTCTAGATACACTTGCTGACGCAGACTTGGATCCCAGCTTTGTGAAGCAGGTCAGGGAGTTCTGCTGTCATGTCTTCAGCACCGCTGAAAGCAAAACTCTGAAAGGAGGTGTCCATGTGACAGGCACATGTGAGTATTAAGTCCATCTACTGCTGCCTTTTGCAGTGTGTTATTGTCTTTCTGTTTCAGTTTTCTCTTCATAGTAATTCAAAATGAGAATCATTTCATTCATTCTTGGATAAATTGTAAACCTGTGTTGATGGATGATGGATAAATGTAAATGTGTTTCAAGTGGAACCTGATGATAGAAATAAAGCAAGCTGACCTTATCTGTCCCTTAGCGCTGGGGAACCTGGCAAAGATCTATGTGGATGCAATCTGCAGCAACCAGATCCCTTGTTTAGAAAATGCAGTGCTGAGCTTGGCACAGATTCAGAATGCCAAAGCAGTAGTTCAGGCCATAGATCACTACAATGCTCAGATGGCGGAGAGGGTTGCCTACCCGACTGAATCACAAGAGGAACTGTCACAAATTCACCACGTCGTAGAGAAGGAGGCACTGAAGATTCTCATTGACTGCTCCTTCAAGGATGATGATCAGAAATATCAACAAAAGCTCTTGGTATGGGAGTCATAGTAACTGTAGGAATGCTGCTTATATGATATCTTGCAGTTGCTACAGACTGATCAAAAATATTGAAATCTATAGAGTATTTAGTGAAACCAGTCATTGCAGAAATGTATGTGAAGCAATACTGTGCAAAAGTCTTAGGCAGGCAAAGGAAATTATGTTTAAATGATCTTCATCTTCGTATAAAAGTGGTGTTAAGTCTGTCAAAGAGTGTTAGCTCAAAACATCCTAAAGATTCTAATGTCAGTCTAGTGTTGGCAATAATCATATACCCATGTATTTGTTGACCAATACCACAGCATGTTTGGCTAGACGGTATCTCATAAATTTACTTAACTAATTAAGTTAATTTGGTGAGCTGATAGTGAAATTTAACAAATACATGGAATAGCTGGGGTACCCCTGAGTAGAGGTTTTGGGAAGTGAAACTGTGTTCATCTAGCCATCCAACAATTTATCCATTACATTTTGGAGAATAGAAGAAATTCTTGTTACTGGTGTCACTGTTCATTTGCATATATTGTAATGTTAAATTCTATTTTATTTTATTTTTTCTACACGTAATACCCAGATAAATTCACTTTTCTGTTATTACTCATTGGCTGACTGGTTTGTAGTCTGTAGCAACCAATGAAATTTTTGTCTTTCAGCAAAATCTGGACGAGATATATGCGGAAATCTTGATCAAAAACATAGAGCAATCCAAGAAAGTTTGTGAGTCCATCATCAAGCATGTTTTCCAACCTCTAGAAGATCAGCTTAGCTCTGGCCGCTACGTGTCACGCGGAGGGTACAAAGCCTTCTGTGCTGACATGCAGAGATTCATCAATCGGTACAGATCAACACCTGGCAAAGGGGTGCAGGTAACAGTGGAGTAGCCATTGAGATTAGTCAACATTGTGAAATTAAGTGAGTTTATCTGACCGCGATCACATGTCCTGCTCATCACTGCGTACAGGCTGAAGAAGCCCTGAAGAAATATTTGGATGGGAAAAAGGCCTTTCAGGACTCCATACTGACCGCTGACCAGTCTCTCACTGAAGCTGAGCGCCAGATCCAAGGTGAAGTGTCTGTTATGAATATTGCCATCATTTTCATAATATATTCAAAATGAATTATTGTCGACAGTGTTGACTAGTTTTAATTGGCAAAGTTTATTTGATGTGGGATGTAGTAACATGATTATTGTATAATTAAAGATGGTTGGTTTTATTCATTTTTACACTATAAGGAATGCATAGCAAATGTAATGATATCTAATCATATTTTGCTTACACCACCTCAAATGTTCTATATGTTTTCCTGCTTCCCCTTCTGCAGCTGAACAGGCAAAGGCTCAGGCCCTTGAGCAGCAGCATCGTGCTGAGAAGGAGATTAATAATATGTATCAGAAACTGTTAAAGGACCAGGAGCAGAGCTACAATGAACTTAATCAGCAGCTGATGCAGAAAATGGAGGAAGACAGGCAGAATGCCGCAAAGGAGTATGACAGAGTACTGTCAGCTAAACTGAAGGTAGACGCATTGACGTTAACCACTACTAGACCTGGGGCTCTCCTTCTGTCTTTCACATGTTGTTTGTCAGGTGACTGAGCATGAGCATGATGGGCTGTGTTTGTTATTGCAGGAACAAGAGGACCTTATCAGCCAGAGCTTCAAGGAGAGAGCAGAACTTATGCAACAAAGCATTGATACCCTCAAGCAGGAGAAGAGAGCAATGGAATCAAATAAGCCTTCAGTGCTTGGCAACGTTCTAGATACTGTAGGAACCATTGCCATGTTTTTACCGGGGCCCATTTCAAAAGTCGTTGGCGTTGCTTCTTCACTGTTATCACGATTGTTTTAAATAAAGTTGCTCCCTAGGGTTTGGCTGACAGTCCTATTAAATTTTTGACACAGTAAGATTAATATTATGATCAAAACTGCAATATTTATCATTTTCAAATAATTATAAACATTTTTTTCTTATACAGTGGTACCTCGGTTCTCGAACTCACTAGAACTCGAATTTCTTGAAAGTCGAACAAACCAGTTTGACCTAGAACTCGATCTGAATATCAGAAGTGGATCCGTGAACGCTGACCTAATATAAGTTGTACGCGCCAGGAAATGAGTCATACTCAGGGACGGATTATGGACCGGGCCAGCGGGGCCACT